CCCCAAAACCCCAAAACCCCAAAACCCCAAAACCCCGAAAATCTATTAAAATGTTGGAATTTAAGCAAGAAATTTAACACTATAATTAGTCTTGGGGACCTCCTCTTCCAACTTTGTCTCAGACATGATATGCATGACTGACTTAATGTTAGGATCTATCCAATTGACACCTTCTGAAGTTTTGCCAGTGGCTCAGCTAACCCTTACTACTTCTGTTTCATTGCCTTGTATTATCTTTTGTCTGACTCTTGTCTCAAGAAGTTGTACTAAGTTTTTGAGAGTCATGAAGGAGAAGATCCCTCTGAGCTCTACGCTATACCAGTCTGGCTGCTTTGTTGTTTCTACTCCGAAGGTATTAAGACTCTTCTTCATCAACATTTTTCCGTTGTACTCAATATCAGCATTTCTATGTACACTGTTAGTGAATGAGTAGGAAGCTACTAGCTTGACTTCTTTCAGATACGGAGGGCAAAGATTCAGCAATGCATTCATTAGAGCATGAACTCCGTCTTGTTGCTTTATTAATACAGTTTTCCTCTCAACATCATCTACAAGATTGATGTCAAACAGATTGAGCTCGTCCTTTTTGATCTCCCCATTTTTGAAGCTAAAGATTGTGCTATCTCTGAATTCTTCATCTTCAGTGCTATCAGAGTCAGGACTTTTGAAGATCTCCAATGGGACTTTTTGATCCTCAAGCTTCTTCATCAGGGGTTCTGATGGGTTAGTAACTACAGCAAACTTCTCTCTCTGAAGTTCTCCATTAACCATAGTGGCCTTACTGATAAATTTAACCTTGTATGTGTTAGTGATAAGAAGGAACTCTCTCAGTGCTCCTTCCTTATCACTGAAGTAAAGCCACTTAATGTAGCAGTCCCTGAATGCTAGGAACCATTCCTTGTCTATCTTCTCAGTTTCTGATACCTTTTCAAGAGGCTGTGACAATTGTGATTGCCTGAAGGCAGTCTTACTGGATTTTAAGAGCTGGGCTGGGTACACATAGTAGCTGAGGACCTTCTCTAACTCATCTTTAAGCTCAATATCTTCAGGGTTGTAGGCCACTGAGTTAACCCAGTCCATGTTCTGAGTGCTGAATATCCTCATTGTGGTCTTAATCGAGTAATCCTCGATGAGGTCAGAATCAGCATCCGAAATATTTGCGGGAAATAAAGAGTTTGAACTCACATGATTATCATTTTTAGGGGTCTTCTCGATTTCGCCCTTTTGAGTTTTCTTCCTCTGAGAGACCTTGATGCCTTCCAGCTTCTTGCTAAGGTACTGGGACTCTCTTTTGTTAGAAGAATCTCTATTCTCTTTACTATCATCGTCAGGGATGTTCTTTTTGTCTTGAGCATGGATGAAATCAAAAAATGTCTTCCTCTTAGATACAGGCTTGCTCTTAGCAGTCGAGGAAAGGCCCTCTGCCTTTCTAAGACCCACCTTAGCCTGAACTTTCTTGATGGCATTCGCTCTTTGAATCCTATAACCGAGATCTTTGTCATCATGTCCTGATTCTGGGGCTCTTCTTTTCATTGATTTATTTCTAATTTAAATATATTGAAATTTAATGGGGTTTTGGGGTTTTGGGGTTTTGGGGTTTTGGGGTTTTGGGGTTTTGGGG